CAATGTAAACAAATTTTCAGATAGTACAATTGAAGTCAGAATTATTAGTCTCCTGTAATCCCCCCCTTTTATTTTTATTTTTAATATTGATCAACAGAGCAAAGAAATTTTCACAGTATTTCCTATAATAGTTTTTCTTCTGGAGAAAGTATTATTTGTTTTATTTCAGCTAGAAAAAAAGCAGATATTATTAAATAAAGACCATTTTAAGGTCAATATTAATTGACCTCTTAAGCTATATTTGTTTTCAATTGTCTACGAAACAAACCAGCTATAAAATGACTTGCCTAATTAACCTAGTTAATCCTTTAAATGTCACTTTAAGCTGAATGCTTGTATTCTGAAAAAAATATCTAAAATAATATGTACTGTCATCATGGCAAACATAAAATAAATCAGTTATTAGAAATGAGTTATTAAAACTTATGTTTAGAAATGTGTTGAAAAAAATCTCTCCGTTAAACAGAAATTAAGGGGAAAAAAAACAGTGATGCTATTAATTCTGACTTTATCTGTAAGTATTGAGAGCTTTGTCACATAAATATGGTTACGAAACTTACTTTTACTTGTAATAGTGTGTTTAAAAGTCCAAAAATGGATCAGCGTAATTATGAAAATGTCAGATTTTCAGATTAAATGAGCATATTAGGATGACAGCAGCTCTACTGGCTGTGAGTCTCAGCTACTCACAGAGACACGGTTATATTTAGTAATTATGAATGAAAAATATTATTTTATTATAGTTAAAAAAAAAAAAAAACCTGGCAGCATGGTGGCTCACACCAGGAAGGTCGCTGGTTCAAGTCTTGACTGGGCCAGTGGGCATTTCTGTGTGGAGTTTGCATGTTCTCCCCATGTTGGTGTGGGTTTCCTATGGGTGCTCCGGTTTCCCCAAAAGTCCAAACACATGTGCTATAGGTGAATTGGATGAACTTAATTGGCTGCTGCGTAAAATATATGCTGGAATTGTTGACGGTTCATTCCACTGTGGCGACCCCTGATGAACAAAGGGACTTAGCTGAAGGGAAATGAATGAATGAGACCAAAATCATTACTCACACTGATATTCATCCATTTAGCTTTGAGATGGTAAGAACATTTTGTGAAAAAAAGTGGTTTAATTTGTTTACTTTTCATGCATTTTCCTGCAGTATTACAATTTCAAAAAATGAGTCTTGTTGAGAAGAAAGAGGATATTCACAAACAAAAAGCTGCATCACCAGAGCCCAGCTGTGTGTCTGTGAAGAGCAATACATCCATGCCTCATCCGCCTGATCTCAGTGATGGAGCAGTGACCTCTTTCCTTAAGTAAGCAAACATTTCCTACTTTGTTAAAGTGCTTTAATCAAAGTAGACTGAATCTGTTTTTGCAGGAACAGATGTAGAAATGACAAAAGTATACACACCCTTTACTCAAGTACAAAAACAGAAGCTCATGTTTGAAATTACTCTGGTAGAAGCTGAAGTGCTGCACTCAAGTATAAGTAAAGCCCTCAAACATGCAATTAGGACCCAATCCCAATTTTACCCCTTAGCCCTTCTCCCTACCCCTCGCTTTGCGTGTTCCCATAAAAGGGTAAGGGTGTCCCAATTCTCTTAAAGTTTGAAAGTTTGAAGTTTGAAAAACGCTAAATTTCACTATCTATAATCCATAATCATAACTCCTGTACAGCAGTCCCACAATATACTTTCACATCTGACACTGGAATACCCTGTCAGAAAAGTCTAGTGGCAGTCAATAAGCTTTTTACAGTGTCTGCTATAATGTTAGTGTTGTATTTGGTGTGTTTACATGGATGAATATGGCCACTGTGCAAATGCACAGTACTGTTATGATCCTATCGCCGCAGTATATACACTGTAAAAAAAAACCTAATTTTACAGAAAAAATCTCTAAATTTTTTACTGTAATTTTTTGTCATTTCACATTATATTCAAAACTTAGTAAAATGACAAACAATCTCTCTAAATTAACCGTTTGACTTTCATTTTAGGTACTTTATTATTAAAAACAAATTACCAACAATTTTTTTTTATAAAGGGAAATTACAGTATTATTTTTACAGTAATTTTTCTGTTTTTTTAATTATATTTAAAAGTTCGTAAAAATTACAAACATTTTCTGTAAATTATCGGCTTTACTGTTATTTTATGTACTATATAATTAATGACAAATTACAGCAATTTGTCTGTTTAATACAAAAAAAGACATTATTTACAGTGTTTTTCCTGTTTTTTTAAGTACATTTAAAATTACGCAAAATTAAAGTAATAAATTGTAATTACTTGCTCTGTAAAAAAAAAAAAAATCGTATAAAAAAGGTCAAATGAATGGCAGCTACGGCTGCCAAACAAAAACCATAAAATTAAGGTAAATTTACTTTGTTGAAAAAAAAGTGCAAAAAATAATAAATCTACAGATATTTTCATTAAAATATTTATAGAAAAACACTGTTATTTCACAGACTTTTCCTAGATTATCACTATAAAATCCATTTAATAAAGTAACACACTAAGAGTGCTCACATACACCTGTTCCAGATTCCGCTGATTGCACACACACAGTCGGAGGATCGTTATGAACTGATTACATGCACTTTAAAAGCAGCACAGACGCACGCACCAATTGCTTAGTCTTGTTATACTGCTACTGTGAACAATATGACGAGTTTCTTCGAGTTGTTTTTTCCAAACTTTTTTGATCCAAAATAAAACTGTTAAATTACGACAAAGAGCATGTCTTGGCTTTTTATTAAAGGCGTTTAATTGTAAAAAAAAAATTAAATAACATTGTTTTCTCTTGAACTTTTAGTGCAGTCACTTTATTGATGGTGTTCGATCATAATAATCTAGGAAAAGTCTGTAAAATAACAGTGTTTCTCTGTAAAACTCTTATTGTGTTACTTTATTAAATGGATTTGATAGTAATAATCTAGGAAAAGTCTGTAAAATAACAGTGTTTCTCTGTAAAACTCTTATTGTGTTACTTTATTAAATGGATTTGATAGTAATAATCTAGGAAAAGTCTGTAAAATAACAGTGTTTTTCTGTAAAAATTTTAATGAAAATATCTGTAGATTTATTATTTTTTGCACTTTATTTAAACAAAGAAATTTTACCGTAATTTTATGGTTTTTGTTTGGCAGCCGTAGCTGCCAGTCATTTGACCTTTTTTTTTTTACGATTTTTTTTTTTAAAGTGTAGTCATGATAACATAATACATGCCTTCAGTGATTTCCTGAAGATAAATACCAAAATATAACACAACTGGAATAACTACAGCAGTCGCGATCTTCTGATCTCACATGAAGCAATGACGTGTGGAGGTGCTGGAGTGCTGTCCAAATTCTTAGGGGTAAACATTAAAACCCACCCCCTTCACACTCTGTTTGGTACAAAAATAGTATTGGGATCATAACTGAAGAAGTTAATTTTTTAATTTTCATGGGATAAATCCGTCAAGTGAATATTTAAGAATCAGATTTGGATTAGAGTCTAATATATGTATGTTTTGTGATGATATTGAAACAATAGATCATCTGTTTTTTCACTGTATATTTGTAGATGTATTATGGTCAGATGTTTATGACTGGCTTTACCCAAAGATTCCACACCTCAGGATCTTTAATGTGAATTACAGAATTTATGGGCTTGTAATGGACAGCAATGTGCCATTCTAATCAACCTCATCCTTATGCTTGGGAAATTTTGCATACATAAATCAAAATATTTGAAGGTGAAACCGATGTGTTGTGCCTTTTATAATGAGATTCTTTTAAATATAGAATCCCTTAAGATAATGAAAACAAAAAGTGCAATTAATATTTTGTCTTTGATAGGATAGTATAAATTCCAGGAAAACCCATAGTCTTTTTATTTATTTATGTTTTTTTAAGATTTAGTTATGTATACTATTTTACTTTTAATTTTTTTATGTAACATATAATTTGTTCTTTATTTACATCTTGTTAAAGTACTGGCACTCTTGCTCATTGTATTAATATAATCACTGAAGGGTTCATAATTATGTTTCAGTGTATTACGGTACTGTAGTGATGACGTCATTTTTTTACGTGCTTTACATCTCCACGTTATACTATTGTTATACGGTAGTGTTACCGTCTTGTCTCTCGTGTTCATGCTGTACAGAGAGAGCATGTGAGAAGAGAAGTTTATTCATAAACACATTTCAAGAGGATCACGTGCTTATGATTGTTCACAGCTGTTGCAGCTTTAGCTAATGAATAATTGTCCTATCAGATGATCCTTAACTCACTATAAATAACCAGACTTTTCTCATCTCAATATCTTTTCTTCTTGAAGAAACCCCCCACCCAACCCTACTTTCCCTCCTTTCAAACAGGCGACACGGCGGCCAGTGAAACCTCCGCACCGCAAGAAAACCCCTGGTTTAATTCCCTTTCAAACTAGGCAACATTTCTGTGTGGAGTTTTGCTCATTCTCTCCGTGCTCGCGTGGGTTTTCCCCAGGTCCTCCAGTTTCCAAAAAAAAAGCACCCTAAACAATTAATCCAAAATATTTTAGCCAAGCTCTGAGTACACCTTCTCAGCATCCAAATCTGTCACTTAGCTACAATTAGCAGGAGGGGGAGTCATCAAGATCTACCTGTGCTCAAACTCCACTCTCGCCCGGCAACGGGAGGGAGCCCAGGGCTCGAGGATCTTATAAAATTTTATTACTCTCTCCTGGGACAGCATGCCAAACAAGCTTTATCATCAATCATCAGCTAAAGCCTGGTGTATACTTCTGCGTCAAATGACCCTCGTAACCCACGGCGCAGGCAACGCGCGTGGCTGTGCATTTATACTTCTGTCTCTGTTGGTCTGCATTAACACTTCCGAAACGCTAGTTGGCAGTGAGGTGTAAATGTTCCTCTGTGTGGAGTTTCTTCGCTGCTGTTTTGCTTTTCCTGAACACTTCCGAGATGTACAAGAGGCTCAAACTCGCTCATTTTGAGGCAGGAACCAGCGGACGTGCAACAACTTTAACCATGAGGTAAACACAAAACAAATCTTTCCATCCGGAGCTCCTTCACGAGACTCCACACTTGTAAACAATCGCTCCACCAGGCTCGCACCATTCACGCGGCTCTCGGTCCTGCCAGACTCGTCAGCGCTTCCAAGCCGACCAATCACAGAGCTTGTGCTATGCGTCGTTGCGACGTGTAGTTACATTTTTTGACAGGTGCACATCAGCGACTGCCACGGCGAAGGGCTATGCGTCAGCGCCGTAGCATATGCCGGCGTTTGACGCAGAAGTATAAATCAGCCTTAAGTGTGAACTCTTGAATGAGTATTAAAAGACGATAATAAAAAAATTCATTCTGTCTAGTGCTTAAGCTACGCACTCCAAGCTCAACACACCTGTTTCCTTTTTTAAATTTTTTTTTGTAATGTAAAGATGAACTGATAATGTCAAGTTGGTGTACATTACTGTATGTTCAATAAAAAAAATAAAAAAAATTAAAATTAAAATTTGGATTGGGCCTAAGTCAATAGTATTACTACCTACTCAAAGTCAACCATTAAATTGGGGTATTCAAGCAGTTTATATAGAACATAGAAACACAAACATGCAAGTAATTAAGAGAACAATTTAGTATTCCTTTTTTTCTGTTATTCTTCCTGTATTCCTTGATTTTCTGCAGGACTGCAGCTAAAATGAGTCTCTGTGAGAAGAAAGAGGAGGATATTGACAACCTAAAAGCTCTAGAGCCCAGCTGTGTGTCCATAAAGAGTGATATATCCATGCCTCATCCGCCTGATCTCAGTGATGGAGCAGTGATCTTTGACCTTAAGTAAGCGCAATTGTCCTGTTTGATTTATCCACATAACACATCAAATGACACTTTTTCATTTCATTTTAGGCCTCAGAGTTTGGTGAGTTGTAACATTTAATTTATTCTAAAGCTTGTTCACATTTTCATGTTATTCCTGCATTTACTGCAGAGTGAAGAAACATGTGTCCAGATCGCCGATGTTCCTTCTATCTTGCTTTGTGTCAAAACTCTTCACACAAAAAGTTAAAAACAGTACAAAACCTGCATGAAGACCAAGTATGAGAGATTATTTGAGGGAATCAAGCTAGAAGGGAGTCAAACTCTTCTGAACAGGATCTACACACAGCTGTACATCATAGAGGGAGAGAGTGAAGGAGTGAATGAGGAACACGAGGTTTTACAGATGGAGAAAACAGCCAGAACACAAGACACTCCAATCTACTGCAATGACATCTTCAAACCCTTACATCAACCAGAATATAAGGTGAAGGACAAAATCAAGACTGTTCTGACTAAAGGCATCGCTGGAATTGGGAAAACCGTCTCTGTGCAGAAGTTCATTCTGGACTGGAGTGAAGGAAAAGCCAATCAGGATGTAGATTTGATGTTTGTGCTTCCATTTCGAGAGCTGAACTTGATTAAAGATCATCAGTACAGTCTTCACAGACTTCTGCTGGACTTTCATCCTGATCTTCAAGATCTGCACTCACAGATTTATGAGGAGTGTAAAGTCGTGTTCATCTTTGATGGTCTGGATGAAAGCAGAATGACGCTGAAGTTTTCAGACATTGAGAGAGTTAGTGATGTGAACGAGTCTTCATCAGTGGATGTGTTGATGTCAAACCTCATCAGAGGAGATCTGCTTCCCTCTGCTCTCATCTGGATCACCTCCAGACCAGCAGCAGCCAATCAGATCCCCTCCGAATACATCAGCCGTCTGACAGAGATTCAGGGCTTCAATGAGCCTCAGAAGGAGGAATATTTCAGGAAGAGAATCAGTGATGAGCATCAAGCCAGCAGAATCATCTCCCACATCAGAAGATCCAGAAGCCTCCACATCATGTGTCACATCCCCGTCTTCTGCTGGATCTCAGCCACTGTGCTTCAAAACCTCCTGAACCAAGATGACGGAGCAGAAATCCCTCAAACTCTGACTGAAATGTACATCCACTTCCTGCTGACTCAGATCAGCACGAGGAATCAGAAGTATGATGAGAGAGATCCTGAGAAACAAACAGAGATGTACAGAGATGTGATATTGAAACTTGCTGAACTGGCTTTCAGGCAGCTAATGGAGGGCAATGTGATGTTCTATGAAAAGGACCTGATTGAGAGCGGCATTGAAGTCACTGACGCCTCAATTTATTCTGGGATCTGCACTGAGATCTTTAAGAAGGAATCAGTGATTCACCAGAGGAAAGTCTACTGCTTCATTCATCTCAGCTTTCAGGAGTTTTTAGCTGCTTTGTATGTGTTATACTGCCACATATTCAAAAAAGAGGAATTTCTAATGTCTTTTCTGGATCGTCGATATCAACTGTATAGAAGGGAAAATTCTCCTTATGAGCTACTTAGAACAGCAGTTGATAAATCCCTACAAAATGAAACTGGATGCTTGGATCTTTTCCTGCGGTTCCTACTGGGCATCTCACTGGAACCTAATCACAGGCTTTTACAGGATCTACTGAGACACATAGTACACAGTTCAGAATCCATCATGAGAATCACACAGTACATTAAAGACAAAATCATGGGCCAGAATTATATCATGTTTGCAGCTGTGCACAAAGTCAAGCGAAGTGAAGCTCTGTCAGCTGAACGATGCATCAATCTGTTTCTCTGTCTGCTGGAAATGAAGGATCAGACTCTCTACAGAGAGATTCAAGAGTTTGTCAAATCAAAGAAGGACCCACACAATCAACTTTCTCCATCTCACTGCTCAACAATCGCCTACATGCTTCAGATATCAGAGAGATATCAGAGGTGCTGGATGAGTTTGATCTGAGGAAATACAACACTTCAGATGAAGGTAGATTGAGACTGATTCCAGCGATGGTCAGCTGCAGAAAAGCTCTGTGAGTATTCATTTATGTAAAACTGTTTTAAAGGGCACATAGTTTACCCCCTTTTTTAAGATTTAATGTTAATATTATGGTTCTTCTGAGTGTGCCAGTTTAGGTTCAGTTCAACACACAGTTCTGATGTTTTTATTATAATGTGTTAAAAAGTGTAATGTTGGGGGTGTGTACACAGCTTGCTGTTATAGGGGCGTGTTGCTTTACATGAAAATAAGTTTCGACTTCCCGCTCAATGTAACAAGGGGGCGGAGCCAAGAGCTTCCCTGCTCTTTGTTTGGCAAAAGACAGGCAGACAGAGAGAAGCAACATGAGTGAGAGGATCAGCATTCAGCCGAACATGTACGACTCGGACACGGACCAAGCAGAGAGAACAAAATCATTTGTGTCTTTGTATAGTTTTACAGCCAACTGTTGCAGCCAACTGCTAGTTTAAAGTTTCGAGCTTGTACACTGAGACTAATAACCACGGACACTGAATTAACTTTGACTGAGGCACCAGATGCGCTGCTCAGAGCCGCGTCACGGCACACTAGACACGCACATTCACATATTATTTAAAATGAAAGTATTCAGATGGTGCTCTGTGGTGCGGCAGAAATATGAAGTGTCCCGGATCGTGGCTGGCCGCCGCAGACAGCTGCCGACTGGAAGCGCCGTTGTGTGTACCCTTATAAAAAGCTTGCACTTTCCAGCTGCACCTAGTTTAGATGACACGGAGCTTCTGTGAGCATGAGAAAAAAACAGCTGAAGTTTAAGGTAGACAGATTCAGATTACAGCGATCATGTGGTGAATGTTGATTTTGTGTTGAGCCCAGTGAGCCTTACATCTAAAAATAAAGCAAGGGTGTTCCTTTAGTGACATCGCTTTGACTCTCATGCTGAAAATGGCGGATGTGAAACAACAAACTGAGGATATGATCGGGACGCAATGATCAAGTAATGCATTGAGTGTATGCTTTACTAAACAGATAGGGCTTTAATCTAAGTTCAGGGCCGGAGCAAGCTGAACTGCCTCTCTAGGCAGAAGACGATCACGCCGCCCTCAACCCCAATGTGAAAACGAAAGTGACCGGTTATGAAAATGAAGTGAGGTGTCGTGGACCTCTTTTCCGGCGCTCTATGCGCGGATATAACTGTGGACGCGCGGGTGCTGAGGGAGGGAGGTGTCGCGGACACTGCGCTCTTTATTCTGCCGCCCTATGCGCGGATATAACTGAGGACGCGTGGGTGTCACAGACCTCAATTCTGCCGCCCTATGCGTGGATATAACTGAGGTCACGCGGGTGCTGATGGAGGTGACGCTGACGCCGCCCTCTCTATTCTATCGTCTATGCGCGAATATATCTGAGTACGCGGGGGAAGTGTCGCGGACATAACTGAGGACGCAGGTGGTAAGTGAGGTGTAGCAGACGCCGCCCTCTCTATACTGCCGCCCTAGGCGGCCGCCTAGGTCGCCTCTATGGACGCGCCGGCTCTGTCTAGGTTTGAACTGAGAGAGTGCATCTGCGCCTCGGATATTATCAGGAAGGCTATTCCAGAGTTTAGTAGCCATAACAAGAAGACTCGTCTTCCTTTACTTGACTTTGCTATTCTAGGTACTACCAGAAGCCCTGAGTTTTGAGATCTTAAAGAGCGGGTTGGATTGTAGCGAGACAGAAGGTTGGTTAGATAAACAGGAGCTAGATTATTTAGAGCTTTATAGGTGAGAAGCAATATTTTAAATTCAATACAAAACTTAACAAGCAGCCAGTGTAAGGAGGATAAAATTGGGGTGATCTGATCATATTTTCTAGACCTGGTCAGAACTCTGGCAGCTGCATTTTGTACTAATTGAAGTTTGTTAATAGAGGATGCTGGGCAGCCAGCAAATAGAGCATTACAGTAATCCAGTCTCGAAGTCATAAAAGCATGGACTAGCTTTTCTGCATCTGAGATGGATTTTAGTGATTTAGTGATATTTCTCAAATGAAAGAAGGCAGTTTTTGTGACATATGATTTTTAAAAGTTTAATTGTTGTCTAATATCCAGTCAGTGTTCATCTTCTCATGAAGAATAATCAATGTGATCAATTGATCCAGAAATCAATGTTTAATGCAATCCTCAAACTCACTGAGAGAGCTGGACCTGAGTAACAATGACCTGCAGGATTCAGGAGTGAAGCTGCTCTCTGATGGACTGAAGAGTCCACACTGCCAACTCAAAATACTGAGGTAGGAGAATCATTTTCTTGGGACATAAATGATGCCCTCTGCTTTGATCCTGATCACCTGGGTTTGGCTGAACTCTTAGGCTTTGTAGAATAGTAATAATGACTTCTTAACTTATTAATATCAACGTTGGGAGGTGCTTAAATTAACAGAAACTGTCACACCATGACACTGGAACATTTAGTAAAAAAAATAAACCCAGAGCTGCTAATCCAGGG